CGCCGTTTTTCGAATTTCTGGGCATTAGATTCTTCTGCATATGAGCTCTGTGGTACTGATGTTTTAATACAAGCTCGAGTGAAGACCCGTTTGGCGTTTGAATTCTTGATTGTGTCCTATAAAATTTAGTTGATAGAGCATCAAATTTACATCATTTTCAAGAACTGCACGCAGCCCATATGCTGAAATCTAAAAAAAGTCGCTAACTTTAATCGTTTTGAGAACACTAACCCGCATTATCCATCGCTAAACCTAAAACCCACCAACCAAATGCTCAAAACAATTCTCAGCCATTACCGATTTACAAAGAAAATTGCGGGAAAGAAACAGAAAGTATAAGTAACGACAAAATATAAGAAAACAAGCGAGCTTTATCAAGTTTTAGAGTCGCGCATTTGCAAGAAATTACCTGACTTTTGATGAAGCCGCTTCGATCGATGCATATGGAATTTAAAGAGGATAAAGAAGCCATTGTTTTTTCAGTACCCTTTTGGCCCTTGAGGAAATAATCAAAGGGGAAGGCCTTGAAATTTCAAAGCTGGTGGCTGTAAACGGAGCTGAATAACACTGTTCAGTGTTTGTTATCTTTGAGCTTTCCAGGGTTTATCGGAGAATCATAATTCTGGGTTGGATTTCGTCACATTAAATTTCAATTGATACAATGAGTTTTTTTTTTTTTAAAACATAATTTATTTCATAAGTTTATTCGAATTGTTTTTTAAATAAGTCGGTTGAAATTTTTATTTATTTTACTAGACACTTTATTATAAACAATTATTTCAGCCACAAACTATTAGTTGTAAGCTTGAAATTCAATTATATAGGGTGCATGGTAATCACCATAAACTAACATGTTGTTTATTTGGTTAGCTTATAATGAGTTTATTCTATGCAAACATGTTTGATTTGCTACGATTAACTTTGTAAGAAACTTGATTTTATCTCATAAACTTATTTAGGTAGTTTTTTCAAATGAGCCCGTTAATTTTTATTTAAATTAGTAATCATCATGTGCGTATGAACAAATGTACGTAAAATATTATAAGTAATATGTGCGAATTTAATATAAAAATTCTAGGTAATAATCATTAGTGACATAAAATAATATAAATATAATTTCTTTGAGTATATATGAATCACTATGTTGATTGAAACAAATTGGTGGTAATGTAATTTTTATAACTTGGAGGGATCATGGTCAAATAATTTAGTGGAACAAATTATTATTATTATTATTATTATTATTATTGTTATTATTATTATTATTATTATTATTATAACAACAACTGTTTATAAGATATAAAAGTTGTTCGACTGTGCTATTAAAACTATTTACTAATTATTTTTCAAGAAAATTGTTTCATGAGATACTAAATTAAAAAAAAAAAATATATATATATTGTTTAAAATAAATAGCTTGAAACTATAGAAATGTTTATACTTGTAATTTGTATTTGGTTTGAATTATTATTAGTTGGTATTAGAATTAACTATCATATAATATAATAACAAAAAATACATGATTGCATTTAGTAGGGTGTATTAATGTAAGAGGTAAAAATTATATTAATGATAAGTTTTGGAACAAAAAAAGGCGGGAAACGAAAATAATTTTATTAAATGCATTGCTAGTAAGTATATATATATATATAT